GAAGGACCTGCAGTAATAATTTATGATGCTGAAGGTGAAGGAATCGAAGAGCGTCGAGCGACACCAACAGCAGTGTCGAGCGACACTAATGAACAAGAGCGTCGAGCGACACCATCAGCGGTGTCGAGCGACACCAACGAACCTGAAGCAGATCATAATGCAGAAGAAGATTCACCTAACGAAGCTGATACAGAGCAGCCGCTTCGAAGATTATCTCGTCCGATACGCAAGCCAGGGTATCTGGATGACTTTGTCTTGCAAGCAGCGATTGAGTGTGAAAGACTGCTACTCTCAATAGATCATGAGCCAAGGAACTTTAAGGATGCGAAAGGTTCATTAAAGTGGAGGCAAGCATGTAGAGAGGGGATAGAGTCTATCAACAAAAACAAGACATGGTTTTTAATTGATAAACCAAGGGAGGCTAAGATCATTGGTCTCTAGTGGGTTTTCAAGATCAAGAAGAATGCAGACGGTACTATCAACAAGTACAAGGCGAGACTTGTGGCTAAAGGATATGTACAAGAATCAGGCATCGATTTTGATGAGGTATTTGCACCTGTTGCAAGATTAGAAACCATAAGACTGTTGATAGCATTGGCAGCATCACATGGATGGGAGATTCATCACTTAGACGTGAAGACAGCATTCTTAGATGGAGAATTAAAAGAAGACGTCTATGTTGAACAGCCTGAAGGATTTGAGATAAAAGGACAAGAACAGAAGGTATACAAGCTTTCAAAAGCTTTATACGGCCTAAGGCAAGCTCCTAGAGCTTGGAACACGAAATTAGATCAAATCCTGAAAGGAATGAAGTTTATAAGATGCTCCAAGGAAAGCTCAGTGTATCGCAGAGAAGAGGGAGGATCATTATTGATTGTTGCTATATATGTGGATGATTGGTTCGTCACAGGCAACACTCTGAAGGTCATAAGTGAGTTCAAGACAGGAATGGCAACTAAGTTCGAGATGTCAGACCTTAGAAAGCTGACTTATTACCATGGCATCGAGGTTCATCAAGAAAAGGATGGAATCGAAATCAAGCAAGAAGGCTATGCACGAAGGATCTTAGCAGAGGCGGGCTTAGAGACCTGCAATCCGACCTTAATACCCATGGAATTCGGATTAAAGGTTTCAAAGGCTCAAGAAGAAGAAGAGATCGATCCTACGTGTTATAGAAGGAATGTAGGGTGCTTAAGGTATCTGTTACACACGCGACCAGACTTGGCTTTTTCTGTTGGAGTTGCTAGCAGGTATATGCAGAGTCCTTGCAAGTCGCATGGCAACATCATGAAACACATTCTACGGTATCTTAAAGGGACAGTCACGTTTGGCTTGAAGTTCTGTCATGGAGGAACAAAGAAGATCATTGGTTTTAGTGACAGCAGTCACAATGTTGATCCGGACGATGGAAGAAGCACCACCGAACATATTTTCTACTTTGGTTCCTCACTAATCAATTGGTGTTCGCAGAAGCAGGACACAGTGGCTCTGTCTTCGTGTGAAGCTGAGTTCATGGCAGCAACAGAGACGGCTAAACAAGCTATTTGGCTTCAAGAACTTTTGAGCGAGAACAAAGGGTGGAAGACTGAGCATATTGTCATCAAGGTTGACAACAAGTCAGCAATGGCACTCACCAAGAACCCAGTATTTCATGGTAAGAGCAAGCATATTCATAAACGCTACCATTTTATACGAGAGTGCATTGAGAAGGAGTTAGTCGATGTGGAGCATGTGCCGGGAGTTGAGCAGAAGGCCGACATTCTTACCAAGGCCCTGGCGAATATCAAGTTCAACGAAATGAGAAGCTTAATAGGAGTCCAAGACATGTCCAAGATCAAGTCGAAGCTTAAGAGGGAGAATGTTGAGTAAGCATCGACATCAAGGCCAAAGCCCATATTGCTTAACAAGTCGGTTAAGTTAATTAGATAGGGTTTTGGAATATTTCCTTATTAGATTATGAGTTACAGTATCTAGTTCTAATAGAAGGAAAAGGTGTTTAGGAAAGTTGTCCTAACACTACAAGAAAGATCGGGTTTTACGTCGGCAGATATCGACGTAAAATCGACGTAAAAGAGCATTTACGTCGAATTAACGACGAAAAAACAATCGTCGTAAAACAGAAATCGTCGTAAAATTACCAACCCAGGAAAATCGTCGTAATATTGTCGGAAACTATTCGTCGTAAACGCGACGTAAATTTTCCAACGAAAGTACAATGAAATAAGTCCATCATAAGAACGACGTAAAATCGATGTAAAATTACATCAATTTAACAACGATTAGGAGACGAATAATTTCAATTAAGGGAAACTAATTTTTTAATTGTCGATGTTAATTCGTCGTAAAGTTTCGACGTAAATCCGACGTAAACATATTAGACGTAAATCCGTCGTTAAATATTCGACGTTAGATCGACGTAAATTTACGACGAATTTACGTCGATTTATAAATTAATTATTTAATTCGATTTTAATTTAATTAATGAATTTTTAAAATAATCAAAAAATTAAAAATAGAAAAAAAACAATTTAAATTGAAATTTAAATTCGAAAATAATTTATAAATAAAAGAAAAAATTTAATACAAATTGTTTTTTACAAAAAAATCTAATCTACAATGTGATTTCGTAATCGTCGAGGTTGAGATCGACGTCACGAGGAGGCTCTCCGTCTTGGCCGCTTGTCGCTGCTGGACCGTCGTTTCCCGTCTGCACTACCGGAGCCGAAGACTGACCCTGCGTCTGCTGGTCCGATGGTCCAGGCCATAATGAATATTGCCTACCAGACATACCAAATGGACTAAACCCGTCAGTGCAAAGACCAAGATAAACATTTCGCTTAGACCTAGCAAAGTCTGGATGTACGGTGTTAAAATGTTTCCAAGGTTTCCCGTCAGACGGGTGAGTCATTTTGCCATCTGTTTGTGAATGTTCCGCATGCCATCTCATCGACGGAGCTGTCCGTTCAGATTGATATAGTCTTTTTAACCTATCAGTGATAGGAAGATACCACATTCGTTGGTAAGGAATCTTCTTACGCTCAGCAATTTGCGGTCTATATCTTGGCTTTTGGCAGAAACGACATTCTTCAAGCTTCTCATCATCTCTCCAAAAAAGCATACAATTATCAACACAAACATCAATCATCTCAGAAGGCAATCCAAGACTAAAAACCAGCTTCTGAATTTCATAATACGTTTCAGCAGCCAAATTATCATCTGGCAAATACTCTTTAATAAGATCTGCCCAATCGTTCATGCAAACTTCAGATAGATTGTGATCAGTTTTTATTGTCATCATCCGAGCTGCCAATGATAATTTTGATAAACCTTCCCTACATCCCTCGTACAGAGGCTGTTTTGCTGCGTTTAACATATCATAAAAGCGTTTCGCATCTGCATTGGGCTCCTCAACAGTATCAGCATGTGTTTCATGAAATGCATCAATAACCATTTCATGCATCCTATCATGATCTTCACCCTGAACTTGACTACTTTGATAATCATTGGACGCTTCAAAATCCACATGTTCTTGATGATTACTACTACTCCGTGCAGCCATCTGACCACTACTTTGACCATATCCCTCTCCATGCTGATACCAAATAAAGTATTGGGGCATGAACCCTCTATTCAATAAATGCTGCCAGACAGTGTCAATAGGAATATGTTTCCTATTTTTGCATTTCACACAAGGACAATACATTTTGCCGCTTTCAATTACAGTTTGCATAAGACCGGCTTGGTACATGAATATTTTCAATCCGTTTTTGAAGTCTTCAGTCAACGACCCATCACCATTTTTGGGCGTATACATCCACTTTCGTAGATCGTATATAGACATTTCAAAAACAAATATTTGACTTTTTGTTTTTGAAATTTGATATAAATTTCAACTACTAAAAATTTTACTTAAACATTCAAAGACTCAAAAAATTTGTGTCTTTATATGTTTTTTTGGGTTGATGGAATAATGAGAGAAGAAAGGGTATATATAGAATTTTTTGTTTGGTTACCAACATATTACCATTGCATATTTACATCAAATTTACGTCGAAATAAAATTTACATCACATTTACATTGATTTTACGTCAATTACAAGATAAAGGACAATTAGTCGTATTATCGATGTAAATATTACGACAATATTACGACGAAATAAAATTCGTTCTTCATTCGTCGTAATATCGTCGTAACATTACGACGATTTTACGAGGGTTATTTTTTACATTCGACGACGAAATTTTTGATCGTCGTAAATACGACGTTATGTCGTCGTAAATTTACGACGTAATGTCGTCGTAAATTTACGACGACTAAAAATCGTCGTAAATAATTCGACGGAAAAGCCCCTCATTCTTGTAGTGTAACACTATATATATGTAAGTCATTGATGAAGTTGCATCAATGAGAAATACATATTTTGGTGTTTAGTTTTGAGAGATTTTCTAAACATAATAAAGAGAGTTATTCTTTATAAACAGAGTTTGTTCTTGATTTTAAACACTTGATACACGTTTCGTTTTTTTTGGTAAACTGTTCGTCTCATCAAATCTCTTTTGAGATTCCTAACGGTTAAATTGCAATATAAATCGATGAAAGCTAGAGAGAAATATATATATGGTTCCCCATATCGTTCTAGTTTCAAGATCTGCCAAGGAAGTCATTCAGGAACCGGCTTTTGGTTACTCGGTTCAACCATTGATTAACCAAAGTATTTCTTTGGCAGATCATGAAACCGAACCCGGTTCAACCACCATATATCATGGCTACCCAAACTGGGGAAGGTCCCAATTCAAGCACCAAAAAGGCAAAGACGAGGGGGACTATATACCAACATGCTTTGCTCATAGCTTGGAGGAAATTAGAGTCTAGGCTCGAAGCTTTTTGGTTAAAAAAGAAAAGCCATTTGGATCGACTTACAAAAGTTTATGTGTTCTTGATTAGTCTTTAGCCAACACAAAATGAGAGTAAGACAAAAAGTTATAATTCTTAATTCTGTGTTTGAAAAATTCCTATATATCTCATATGGGAAACCACAAAAAAAAAAAAGAACATTAAGCAATCAATCAAATATTGTCCCTAACAAATCATTCACTAAACCTTCCCCTCCCAAAAAACAGAGTATGCCTTTAAAACCCATTTGCTATTTTTATCACCTCCCTCTCAAAAAAGCTCTCTTTGCGGCTTTAGTTGTTCGCGTTGCCTCGTTCTAAGCCGTCAGATGATCTACCATCTGAGCCGTGGGATTATAAAAAGGGCTAGAGGTTGGAATTGGAACTGCGAGTGGAACCTGAGTTGATGAAAACAGGAGTGTCTCTAGGCGTGTGAGATGTGGCACCACGCGAGCTACCACTGTTTCCCATGTCTTTTGTCTTATGGAGAAGAAAAGTTCCTGATAAAATTGTCACAAAGCCACATAGCTCGGTCGCAATTTGCAATCCACTTTGAGAAGCCCAATCCTGTACCATAACCAAATGATGATGATGATGATGTGCTTATGAACAAATGGTGAATCCCTTTAGTTTATGTTCAGTTCTTGAAAACCGCATTTTACCTTGAACATGATCATGCTAGCTAAGATGGTGAAAGTTGTAAACATAACGTAGTACACTGGAGATATAACCGCAGTGTTGAAATTATCCAGAGCCTGCACATATGAATACAAAGATGAAACAAACTATGGAGGTTTTGTTACTGGTAAAAACTTAATATCAAGATCTTGTTGTAATCACCTTGTTCAAGTAGTTGATTTGCAAAATGCAACATATGGTCACTACTATAATGAAAATCCATGCGTGGAAGTACTTGAACTGGTTCATCCCGGAAAAAGTCAGCTTTATGGCGATGGCCACAGCTTTAACACTCATAACCTAACACGCAAAAGAGACCAAGACACTCATTTAGAAGCGAGAGGAGATATAGTAGTAAGAGATGGGCTCAAGAAAAATGATGGAAAACGTACAGTAAGAGAACCCATTAAGGAGCAAATCCCAACATATACTATCATATGCGTCTTCCCATAACGCGGCTCGTAGTAGAAGATCAATGCAAGCACCACAACCAATACCACACCAGAATATGCAAGGAAACCTGGTTACAAATATTGAAGCAATAGATCATGTTTCAGTCCAATTATAGAGAAGCAAAAGGACCTTAATAGCTAAATATATACCTGGTTCAGTAGCTAGGTGCCATACTTGTTTGACCGATTCAATATTTTGCTCGTGAGGAGCATGTAGAACAATCGTTGTAGATCCAACAACACAGAGGACGCAGCCAAGTATACCGAACATATGCAACTTCTCTTCCAAAATAAAATGTGCAAGCACTGCGCTGCATAACACGGTTTTTGTTTTCAGGAAACTTAGGTTTGTTTCACGCAGTTACAGAGGGAAGAAAGATAGGCATAGTGGATACAGATACCTGAAAATAATACTTAGAGCTCCCAAAGGTGTCACTAGAATAGCCGGTGCAAATGCATAAGCTGCAAAATTTGCTATCTCCCCAACAATCACTGTATAAAATTGGGAACACAGTCCCTATCAATTATCAAAACCAATCTCCATCTCTGTCTTACAATTCAACAGAATCTGCTTTTTAACTTGTTTATATATTCTTATTCCCAAAGAAACAGCTTAACAGTCGATTTTGGAGAAGGTTTCAGATCAATCTAATGATGTTTACTCGTCCAAGCTATCATATTACTGTCATACAGAATCATGATGGCCCAAACTAAAACCATGATATTTGGAAACCATAGGTCTTCCATTAACCATTCGACAAAGAGCTAAAAATAGTATCTTGGAAACCATAAGTCTTCCATGAACCATTCATGGTGATAAGATGCAAAACATGCCGAAGCAAACAAGAACTCATATTTTATCAATCAGTTATGTGCTTTCTGATTGAAAAACTACCAATTAAACATGTAAACATCTTTAGCGAGCTAGAAAACAGGTTTAAACTTTTGCAGCATAGTTTCACAAGCTTACTTGTTATCATCCCAGCCCACCACCAAGGTTCATATAAGTATCCATACCCTCCTTCACCTAATCACAGCAAAGAAACAATAAAGAAAGCAAAATTTAGTTAAAACAAGAAGAGTGATTTTTGAAGAGCAAGACTATTAAGTAACAGCTCAAACCTGCTCGAGCTCCGCTTACACCAGCCTTCTTGAGACCTTTTTTCTTGATGATGAAGCTAGAACCAATGAATATACTAGAAGACACAGCTAAAATGACTCCATGTATATTATCAGTTGACATCTCCTCCATCTTGTATGATATTTTATAGTTTGCTTATATACAATTAAGATGATTCAAAGTTGTTTAACAATGAAAAAATCCAGGATAGTTTTTGGCTGAAGATAGCTTACTGCATCTACAAACAAAAAACAAACATAAAACAAATAAGAATCAGAGTAAATCCACTACAGTAAACAGTGTTTAATAATTATAAATCATGGTTAATTTAGCAATTTCCCACACCAGTCGTGTGATTCTGAAAAAGAAAATCTGGGTTTTTGTGTAGCAGAAAAATCGATAACCAGACAAATGGCGCAAGTAGAATAACACACACAGACAAAACAAAACTCAGATATGAAAGAAAGGAAAAAGACAATTTTTTACAAAAAATCAAAAGATGTCTCAAGAAACATAAAATCTAGGATCTTACAATTGTTCACGAATTGTTTATGATTTTGCCCAAAAAATTAAGACCCAGAAACTCGCTTTTTATACGTTACCTTGCCCACATTAAACTATTACGCACGCGTCGGATTTAATAAAATATTCGTAGTAATAAGAAATTAAGAACACGCAGACAAAGAGTTAATCAAAAATCCTCTAATATGACACGAATCATCAACATACGCGATATCAATCATTACAAACAACAAATTTTGTGGGGGAAATTGAATTCGATAAAGCAAAAAGCAAGAAGTAAAAAACATTATATAAAGGTAATGCTGAAATAAAATATCTGGAGCTAGAAGTAGCAATAGAATATTCGAATCGTATCTAACCTTTTTCATTGGTTCTAATTTCGTACACCAAAACAAAAATCAACAATGTGGAAGAAGACGAATACGACTCTGAGACGTAATAATGATTTTGTGCTATTGAAAGGTAATGAAAAATTAGGGTTCTTTTGTTTTGGTTGCTGGAGAACTGAATCTGAAAAAAATAAAACGAAAGCAAAAGGAAGAGACAGAGAGAGAGACGAGACGAGAGATAGTAAACTTTGAGAAAGTAATATTGGAAACTTTGAGAAATGTAACGAAAATATTGGAAACTTTGAAACAAACCACACTAGAGAGAGTTACAGATATACAACATTTTAAATTTAGGCCCCGTTTCGGTTCAACATTTTTCTGTTTTTTTTTTTTTGTGTTGAAAGGTTTCATATAGTTTAATAATTAAACCGAAATTACAGACTAAACCGGGGTCCCAAAAATGGGTCCGGTTAGGTAATTTGAACCGCACATTTGCTACCTTCGGAGAATCACCTCCGTCGTCCAAACGCCGTTTAACCGTAGAGTAGTGGACGAGCTGAGAAAAGTTCCGGTTCAACTTTATTTGTTCGGTTTGTAATTTTGTTCCGGTTCGAATTTTGTAAACCACAACAGTTCCCAAATTTTGGTTTGAAATATAATTAATTAAGAACTTTTTTTTCAGAAAATTCGATTTTATGGTCTCTCTGGATTCTCAACTTAATATTAAAAAATAAAAAATATTACTTTCTTAAATACCACATCAAACCTGAATCTGAAAATATATACCACAAGATTTTGCAGTCGTAAAAAGAAACATTGATATGATTTCAAACATACGTTGATAAGTTATTACAAAAGTTTTATTGCAAGGGGACAATTCTTCTTCGGAATGATAAGCTTAACTAGAAAAGTGAAAGATCCTCATGAACCAGTCATGTTTATATGAAGCTAGAATATGGCCGATGGTGAGTCCACACACTACACCAGGTACATACCCTATTGCAGCTGCAATCCAGCTAAATACTTGATCTTCATCTTCCTCATACTCTGTTGCTTCTTCTTCTTTTTTTCCGCCGCATGTTTTCTGGAGAGGAGCACCGCATAGCCCAGGATTCTCCGCGAATGAAGAAATGTTCTGGCTTTGAATCTGAGTGCCTTGTGGTATTGGACCTTCAATATTGTTGTAAGAGAAGTTCATCCACGCAAGAAACGTGAGTTTCCCGAGCTCTGGTGGGATTTCGCCGGACAATCCGTTTTTAGATAGATCTAGTGATTGGAGATTGGTCAAGTTCGCTAGATATGGTGAAATATGGCCAGTGAAAGCGTTGTTTGACATGTTGAGCACAATCAGCTCCTTGAGAAAACAGATGGATTCAGGAATATCACCTTGGAATCTGTTTTCGGAGACATCAATGGTTTTGTAGATTGTGAAACCACTCCCAACCAGCTCCATATTCAATCCTTTGTTCGTTAGACCAACTGAGTTATGATAGTATCCTGAGCCACGACCCGCAAACCTAATTGGTGTATTGTCTACAAAGTCTACCACCGATGACATTGCACTCCAACCCGCAAAGTAATCCGTTGGCAAGACTCCAGTGAAGTAGTTTCTTGAAATGTCAAAGATTCGCAGCTTCGGGAAACTCAAAGAATCTCCAAGAGAAGTTATTGGGCCATAGAATTCGTTGGAACGAAGGACAAGAATCTGTAGATTAGGCAACGAACTCAACCAGAATGGAAATTTGTCACTGATTCTGTTGTCTTCCACGTTCAGAAACTCTAGTTGAGAGCAGTTGATCAGAGATTTGGGGAGTTCTCCTGATAACTTGTTGTGACCAACATCAAATGATCTCAAGTGATCACTGATAGATTCTTCTGGAAAAACACCAGAGAGGCTATTATTCTGGAGATGCAAGATGGAAAGAGTGGTATTGAAATTATTGAAACAACGAGGAATAGACCCGCTGAAGTTGTTGTTGGATAAAACAAGTGTATCCAGAGCAAGAAATTCACATAATCTCCTAGGAATCTCTCCTGAGAACCCATTATCAGAGCCTGAAAAGAACATCAAAGAGTTCGGTAACAAAGGAAAATCCTCGAATGCGTTTGAACTTATATCAAGCATTGTTTTTGCACTGCTTTGAATAACATCCGCTGACCCTTCGAAACCACTGAATGAATTCTGAGAAATGTTGAGATACCGCAAGAATGGCAGCCTCCATAACCACTCTGGTACTTGACCTTCAATTTGGTTGGCAGAAATGTCTAAATAAGACAAATTGGTTTTGGTTTTCAAAAATTTGGGAAACTCAACAATATTGCAAGATGATAAAGCCAAGGTTTCTATGGGCAAGGGAAGGTTGAGAGTTGAATTGATCTTCACTTTAATCCCTGAAAGATCCAAGCTTGAAAGTGACATGAGATGTGAGAAAAGACTCAAGTCAACCATGCTTCTCGTATTCAGATAGGACAGGTCAAGTAACCTAAGTGACTTGAGATGCGAGAAGATGCTGAAATCGACCATGCCCCTCCTTGTGTTCCAAAAAGAGAGGTCAAGAAACCAGAGTCCCACTAGTTTTGATATAAATCCTGGGATTGGCCCATTAAAATTGTTTTCTCCAAGAGATAAAGATCCAAGTCCAGATGATGAAGAGATATTCTCTATCTCAAGAATACTGCTAAAAGCATTTCTTTCCAGGTGAAGGCGGACCAACGAAGGAATCATGAAGAGAGACGATGGAACAGACCCCGAAAATGAATTTCCAGCTATATTAAAATATTCAAGTTTGGAGAGGCTACTTATGTTAGATGGGAGCATACCTTCAAAATTAGAACGAAGGTCGATCCAAATGAGCTCACTCAAATTGAGTAGCACATAAGGAAATTTCCCACTAAGCTTGGTAACAAGAAGCAGCTCCTTTAGTCGGTTTAGATTCCCCAACGAATCAGGCATTTCACCAGTGAAACCACTAGAAAGATCAAGATTAGTGAGATGAGAAAGGTTTCCAATTGAAGAAGGTATCTTTCCAAAGAATTTGCAACCACCAAGACTCAAATCCGTTAGATATTTGAGTTCGCCGATAGAATCTGGTAGAACACCCGAAAGATTGTTGTTGCCAAGCTCCAGGCTCTGAAGATGTCGTAGTCTAAACAGGCTACTGTTAGATCTCAAAGGGCCATTGAGATTACAGTTCATGAGGTCTAGCTCAATGACCTTGCCCGTCTTAGGATCACAAGAGACACCATCCCACGAACAGCAATCTGTGTTGTTCCTCCACCTCTTTGTCTTCTCATCACCGGTTATCCCACTAAAAGGGGACTGTTGGACATAGAACTCGCTCTTGAACTCCCAAAGAGCATCCCTCTGGTCTGGACGACACAAGTGCTTAGCAGGAGAAGCAAAAACAAGTATAAGTTAGAAAGGGAGAAGATTAAACACAAGCTCCATGTTATCATCTTCCTTTCACTACAAGAATGTATCATATTTTTGTTTTTTCTAATTTTTTTTTTTTTGGGTGCAAAACGAGTGATGCTTGTGACTCTAGATCATTGGATTGTCTTTGATATATATGGAGGAAATGAAAGCTTGACTTAACAAGTCTCCTGTCCCGTAGCAAGATGAGATTTTCCACAAAGATATTTAAGTTTCCATAAACGAAGGCTCCACAAAGTCAAGTCTCCTCTTGGAAAAAAACTAACCTTGAGAAATGCAATTAATTCCAGCCGTGTAGTGGTCAATCGCTGAAACGCTCAAGATTCCTTTGTATTCAAACCGCAAGCCGTGTGGTGGACGTTAAACGCACAGACGCTATGCAGACGATACCTTTGATTTTTCAAAGCCGCAAAGGCAATTTTTCAGGTTAACCGTTCTAACATAATATATCAACCAGTTTATATCCCATCGAAATCCTAAACAAACAACCCAAAAATTACACATTTTTATTTCTCTCCTTTTTTTTTCCACAAACAAATAGCACCTAATTAATCTCATGAGCTCTCATCAATGTAACAAGTGCCAAAAAAAAAACCAGAACTAAATCTCGTGTACCAAAAAAATTTCGAACTAAAATATAATGTTAATCTTTGCCTAAAATCAGTAACTATAGATGTTTTAACTTTTGAATCAGTGTTGTTGGTTTGACTACCGGATTTGCATTCAATATTAAATTTGGTTTCAGTTTAATAGATTGGGTAGAAAATTTGAATTCATCCGTTTTTCAGGTAGAATTTAGCACCGTATTGTAGTTTTAATATTTTCTGCACAGTATTTAATTCAGATTTTTTTTGACCATTTTCCTACCACTAGCATCTATGTTGAAATAATCACAATAACTGATATATAAACTCATTAAACAGTTTTGGATTACAGACACTTTATTATTCACATTCTTATATTTTATATATAAAAGACAATCAACTTTCTTCGTATGTTTGACACATCAGCATTGGAGAAGTTAACACCTGTCAACTAAATTTTAAATAATAAATTTTAATATTAAATTTTAAAACATTTAAAGAATATGAAAAGTTTGTATTTACTAACATTTATATAAACACTTAAAGAATATGAAAAGATTGTATTAACTAACATTTATATTAATGTTAAACAAAAATTTATGTTATAACTAATTAAAAATATTGATAGATATATATATAATTTTTATATAACTGTTGATTATTTAATAATATTCAAAATGTTAAAATTAATTTTTAAGATTATTTATAATAAAATACTAACAAGTAACAAATAAAATGATGATTATATTAATTTTAATTGACTATTAATTAATATTTGTGTAAATGTCAAACAAAAATTTATGATATAACTAATTAAAAATATTGAATGATATGTATTAATTTTAATATAATTTTAAATTATTAAATAATATTCAATATATATTTTAAATTAATATTTTAAAAAATTTTAGAAATATAACAAAAAAAGTCGAAAAAATTAAAAAGAAAAATTTGTACGTTACATGCGGGTATTCACCTAGTTATATATAAAATTTGGCCAACTTTCTCCATCTGCTTGCCACATCAGTACTGGAGAAAGCGCCTCCTTTCCATTTAAAATCTTAATGAAATAAACAATTAATCATATTTAAAGGAAAAGCATTAAAGAACATTAATAAATATTAATTTGTATAGCAAATGTATTTAAATAAATAAATTCAAATTTATTTTAAATATATCAAAACTTATAAATATTATATAATATAAGACTTTTTGAAATACATCATTCAATTTCTTCTTTCTAAGTGATTTAAACTATATTTTCAAACTAAAAGTATAATTAAATTTTTATGGAAGTGAAAAAAAATTATCAGACTGAATAAGTTAAGAAGTTTTAAATAATCTTATATAAAACTCTAACTAATAAAATTATAACACACAAAAAATATTCAATAAATGATTAAAGAGATAAAAAATTATTACAAAATAATAATAAAAAAAAGTGGATACATAAAAATGTCATACAAAGTTTTTTAGTAATTTTTAAAAAGATGAAATCAATAAAATATATATAACCAAAAAAACTCAAAATGGTAAATTTTTCTATGAGCTATTACGTTTTTATATATAAATTAAAATAGTAGATCTTTAGTCCCTCATTACTGTAGGAGAAAAATTGGATTATTTGGTACAACCGGTGTGGAAGAGATTACAAATAATTTATCATCTAGAAGAAATCGGAAAATATAAACATTTTAAACGAAAAAAACATTGATGGTAAAAATAAAATTCAATACAAATTCTAAAAATGTATTATTTAAAATATAAATTAAAACAAGATCCACGTATATGTGCAGATTCTCTCCTAGAATTTAATAAAATGGATCGATAAATCATCAAAAACCCATCAACAAGAGCGTACAACTTCTGAAAAAAAGAACTACGCCACGATTTCATTCAAAAACTTGGACCCAAAAGCAGAGATACCTCAAATATCAAGCCCCAAAAAAGAAAAATCGAAATTATAACTCAAAACAAAAGTATAAAAGAAAAATTATCTCGGAAATTCCTCTACATTATTTGATTGGATAAACGAATAGAGAACGCGGTACTTTTTTATTTTTTTTGGTAATACAGTACTCTTGAACCAATCTCACCTGCCTGCAATGGACACAAAGCGTTCTCCGTCTCATATTTTAACACCAATTTAATATATGCCCCTTATATTTCTCAGGTTATTCGATTAAAACCCCAAACCGTTTTTATATGACAAACAAAACCATACTCTGTTACATTTTTTATAATCCAAGCCCCAACTAACTCTACCTGTAATTTACAGATGCCCATAAAGCTCTTCTTGTTCGCATTTTGATTCGATTCCACCACCAGTTTAAGAAACAGAAAAAAACAACTCTAATAAACTAAGTTTATTCAAATATATTCGGACGATTGCTGATTACTGATTCTAAAAAAAGAAAATCGAAAAAAGTTGCTACATAAGAACTGAATTTTATTATTGCAAGGGGACACCACCACCCTCGTAAGAACTGATGCGTATAGAACAAGTAGAGTTATCATCAACCAACTGATGCTTTGATTAAGTCAAATAGTGAAAGATCCTCATGAACCAGTCATGTTTATATGAACTGAAAATGTGACCAATGATGAGTCCACAGAACACACCGGGTACGTAGCCTATTGCAGCAGCTATCCAGCTCAACACTTGATCCTTCTCTTCTTTTTCTTCATCTTCCTCTTGCTCTGTTGCTTCTTCTTCTTTTCCGCCGCATGTTTTCTGCAGAGGAGCACCACAGAGCCCAAGATTCTCTGCAAATGAAGAAATGTTCTGGCTTTGAATTTGAGTGCCTTGTGGTATTGGACCTTCAAGATTGTTGTAAGAGAAGTTCATCCACGCAAGAAACGTGAGTTTCCCGAGCTCTGGTGGGATTTCGCCGGATAATCCGTTCTGAGAAAGATCCAATGATTGGAGATTGGACAAGTTTGCCAGAGATGGTGGAATACGGCCTGTGAAAGCGTTGTTTGACATGTTAAGCACAATCAGTTCCTTGAGAAAACTGATGGATACAGGAATATCTCCTTCGAATCTGTTTCCGGAGACATCAATGGTTTTGTAGATTGTGAAACCACTCCCAACCAACTCCATCTTCAATCCTTTGGCCGTCATAGACACAGAGTTACGATAGTTTCCAGAGTCACGTCCCTCAAACCTACTCGGCATACGATCTACAGTGTCCAAGACTGACGACATTGCACCCCAACCAGCAAAGTAATCTAATGGCAAAACTCCAATGAAGCGGTTGTCTGAAATGTCAAAGATTCGCAGCTTGGGAAAACTCAAAGAAACTCCAGGAGAAGATATTGGCCCATGGAACTCGTTAGAACGAAGGACAAGAACCTCTAAATTAGGCAACAATCTCAACCAGAATGGAAATGTGTCTTTGATTTTGTTGTCGTCCACGTTCAGAAACTCGAGACGAGTGCAATTGATCAGAGACTTGGGAAGTTCTCCTGATAACTGGTTGCTACCAACATCAAGTGATCTCAAGTGATCACTAATAGATTCCTCAGGAAAAATACCAGAGAGGCTGTTATTTCGAAGATGCAAAACCGAAAGCTTAGTATTGAATTTCTCAAAACACCGAGGAATGGAACCATTGAAGTTGTTGTTGGATAAAATAAGTGTATCAAGAAAACGCAATTCGCATATTGTTCTAGGAATCTTTCCCGAAAACCCATTACTGGAGCCTAAAAAGAACTTTGTACTGTTTGGTAACAAAGGAAGTGGATCTTGGAATCTGTTAGAACTTATGTCAATAAGTACTATTTGACTTCTTTGAATAATATCTGCTGATCCTTCGAAACCACTGAAAAAATTCTGAGAAATGTTGGCATACCGCAACATTGGCAGCCTCCATAACCACTCTGGTACTTGACCTTCAATTTGGTTGGCAGAAATGTCTAAATAAGACAAACTGGTTTTGGTTTTCAGAAATTTGGGAAACTCAACAATATTGCAGGATGATAAAGTCAATATCCCTATATGTGGGAGAAGATGGAGAGATGAACTGATTTTTAAATTAATCCCTGAAAGATCCAGATAACCAAGTGAATCGAAATGTGAGAAAAGACTCAAGTCAACCATGCTTCTTGTATTGATATAAGAGAGGTCAAGGAATGTAAGTGACTTGAGCTGCAAGAAGATGCTGAAATCGACTATACTCCTCTCTGTATTCCATAAAGCAAGATCAAGATAGAAAAGCCCAACTAGTTTTGATATAGATCTTGGGATTGGCCCATTGAAATTGTTTTCTACAAGGGATAAAAATCCAAGTGTAGATGGTGAAGAAATATTCCCAATCTCTAGAGTACCACTGAAGTCGTTACTTCCCAGACTAAGGTAAAACAATGAAGGGATCATGAAGAGAGACGACGGAAAAGATCCATAAAATGAATTTCCAGCAACACTAAAAGACTCCAATTTAGAGAGGCGACTCATGTTAGATGGGAGCATACCTTCGAATTGGTTAGAAGCAAGGTCGATCAAGGTGAGTTCGCTCAAATTGAGTAGCATGCTAGGAAAGTTTCCACTAAGCTTAGTTGACCCAAGACGCAACTCCGTTAGCTGGTTTAGATTATCCATTGAATCTGGTAGCTCACCGTTGAAGTCATTAATGGAAAGATCAAGACCAGTGAGATAGGAAAGATTTCCAAGTGAAGACGGAATTTTTCCATGGAAATGGCAACCACCAAGATTCAAAACCCTCAAATATTTAAGGTTGCCGATGGAATCTGGCAGAATACCAGAAAGATTATTGTAGCCAAGATCCAGGCTCTGAAGATGTTGCAGCCTAAACAGACTGCTATTAGATCTCAAAGGGCCATTGAGAGAACTTGACAAGAGGTCTAACTCAACAATATTGCCTGTCTTAGGATCACAAGAGATACCATCCCAAGAACAGCAATCAGTGTTGTTCGTCCACCTTTTTGTCTTCTTATCAGCAGCCACCCCATTGGAGTGGAACCCTTTGACATAAAACTCTCTTTTGAACTCCCAAAGAGCATCTCTCTGGTCTGGACGACACAAGTGTTTATCAGGAGAAGCAAATACAAGGATTGAGTTAGAAAGACAAAAGATAAAACACAAGCTCCATATCATCACCTTCCTCTCACAACAAGAACACATCATATTTTTTATAATTTTTTTTGTTTGGTAAAACGAGTGATGTTAGTGACTAAAATCACTGGATTCCCTCTCACATTTATGGAGGAAACTAAAGTTGACTCAAGTCTCCAAGATATTTCCACACGAAGTCTCCACAGAGTCAAGCCTCCCTCTAAGAAAAATTTAACTTTACGAAATTGAATATTCAAAAGTAATTTGAACCACAAATGCAATTATTTCCAGCCGAGTGGGTCAGTAGCTGAAACGCTCTGCAGCCTAATTGAGGGAAAAACCACTCCGGTAAACTTTTTCTGATACTCACATATATTAAAAAATTAGAATATTAGTTTGTCTACGACGGATTTTATCTACTTAATTCATTTTGCGGTGGACTAAAATATTATTCGAGATAACCCACAAAGCACTACAATCTTAAAACATCAACTCTATAATATACACCACTTAATGAGTTTGTGTTTCATGGTGAGTCCACAAAATTTTATAAAATTAATTCTCATGTCTAACTCTCAATAAAAATTAAAAAATATTTTTTTAACTTCTGTTTTTCAAAGAAAATGATACAATTTATAGTAAAATATATTGCAAATTCACTAATAAATTTAACTTAATATATGCAGATTGATCACTATTTATAAATATATAATACTTTTTAGTATCATAATAGTTAATAAACTAAATAGTGATTACCCAAAAACAATGTGTGATACTCGTATCTTACATTATCCTCCTCTCACGACAAGAATGCATCATATTTTTTCTATGTTTTTTTTTATTTTTCTGCTGTGAAAGTGATGCTAGTGACTCTAGATCATTGGATTGTCTCTTATTAACCAAGAGAAGGAGAAGACTTGATTAAATCTTGGTTGGTTAATATCTAGTGACTCTGGGAGAAGACTCTTCTCCTTCTCTTGGTTAATATCTCTTACATTTGTGGAGGAAACTAAAGCTTGATTTAACAAGTCAAGTACAGTCTCCTGTTGGAAAAAAGTAAACGTGAGAATTGAGAATTCAAGCGTGATTTTATCTTACACATTATTCAAAGCCACAAACGCAATTTTCCCAGCCGTGTGCGTGTGGTGTGGGTTTAACGGTTCAAACTTTCTGAAACCTAAAAATTCATTTGTTCTCTGCATTGTTAGTATAACGTTTTATGATGTCCTACGCAAAATTTAATTAAATATATATATTTCTATTTTTTATTTATATGTATATATATATATCTTATAATATTAGAAAAGAAGTACATTTGACCTCAGTGTTATGTGGTATATTATAATGAATGCCACTGTAATAAAATGTATTCCATGAACAAAAAAAATTGAAACCAAAGAGGATCCGTGTCCTTTTAAAATGACTCGTTTAAAAGAACGTAGATTTTAAATTTTAACACGTTTTGTATTTTCGTCAATTTTATATTTTTTCAATAAAAATGTAAATGAAACAAAATATCCTACTATTAAGGATAAACTCAAATTCGCAATAAATGTCGAATTCATTTGAATAGATTTGCAAGATTACATATGCGAATTAAATCTACTTCAAATCCTATCATGATCTTTATTACTAATTATACAACTAATTATTGTTACCAAATACAACAACATGCACTATATTAGGCTAGATAACTGTAACAACTATCACATATCTTATTGAATTATTTTTTTCATATTCATTGAACACCATATATTCTCATAAACTGCAATAGCTATTGTATTCCCTAAATTTTGAAATAATGGAGTAGGCACTCATTTTTGAAATTATACAATTAACCGATTAAATATTATCCCGTTTATATCGAATCTCCGTATATATAGACAACTACACCTACTTTACAAAAAAGACGTTATTTGATATTTTGCATATATATTTCAAAACTATAAATGTCACGAATATTCTTGGCCGCCAATTTATGTACGATTTAACCGCTTATCAATGAATCCTATAATTTTTCTTATAAATACTTCTACCCCTTCTTTCAAAACATTCCACATCAAATTTTGTTTTCCTCTCTGTTTTGTTTTATTTTTGCATTGTTCGTATGCCTTCCACAACAAAGCTAACCCCTTTAGATGACATTAAGTCTTTTAAGACTCGGTGGAAGGTTCAAGTGAATGTGCTTCATACTAGGAAGCAATACCAAACTAAGAGTGGGGAGTCTTTGGAAATCATCATGGCCGATGAAGTAGTACAATATATTATTGATCGACACTACTGTTTTAATATTTTTGATTGTTCTGTTAAAATTATTAACTTATTGATCTTCCAGGGTACCAAAATCCACGCAGCTGTTAAGAAAAACTTGCTGCATCGTTTTGAATAGATGACGGTTGTCGGTGAATGGAAGTTCATAGAGAAATTTTCATTGAATCAGGCATCAGGATAATACCGGGCCACCAAACATCAATTTAAGATGTCATTCATATCCTTTACAGTTATCAGCAAAAGTTCTAATCGGTCAGACAGTCGGTTTTTGATTTCTCAGAGTTTGTTACAATATTGGACGATGTTACCAATACAAGTTTTTTGGTTGGTAACTTTATTGACATACTTGATGTAATCGGCACATCCCTCTTATTGTCATTAATTATCTGACGTTATTTTCTCAAATAGATGTTATTTGACAAGTTGTAATTGTCCGTGAGTTAGAAACAATCTCTGTTATGAACAAGGACACCAGCAAGCTCGAGTTCGATCTACGAAATACTAAGTGAGTATATATATATATATATATATATATATATAAAAATTTATATTTGTATCTGATTAACTTTCATCTGTTTTATGTAATATGTGTTAAAAGTGATTAACGTTTACCATGCACACTGTGGGAAAAGCTTGGTGAGCAAGTCTATTCGGCTTGTCGGAGTGCTGATGAAAGAAGTCTCATCCTTGTGATCCGTTTTGGGAAAATAAACATTTTAAGAGGTACATATTAATTTTTTTTTACTTTGATGTTTGTATGTTTCATACAACGCCGTTTTTTGTTTTTGTTTTTGTTCTGTTTGTTATATATTGTAGGTAATCGTCGAATTACAAGTAGTTTTCAAACAACTAAGGTTCTGATAGATTTGAATGATCCCGATGTCATTGTCTTCAAGAATAGGTAATATGGCTATGTATATTATATATATATATATATATATCGTATCATTACGATTACGAATACAACTAATTCAATTAATTTTTTAGTTTACCTGAGAATTGCGGACGTATTACATTCTTGAATAGCAAGCCTCAACAAAGGGTTTCTTATGATGATGAGATTAATTTCGATCAGTTTCCAATGGTCACTATTTCAGAATTGCAAGACTATCTTGAGGTATATGTCATTTTTAATCTTTGCTATATTATACGTCATAGATTATATAATTTTGACATTTGTATTTTCGTTTCATCAGGTTGGCAAATGTAAGATCATGTGCACCATCTATACGGTTGACACAGACTGGTCGTGGTTTTACTTGATTTGCACTAAGTGTGGTAAAAAAATTTACAAAATTCCAAAGAAGGAAGATCAAAAAGTCTCTGAGAAAACTAAGACGCTTTGTTCATGTGAAACATGTGATGCAAAAGTGTCATTTGTCAGTGCGAGGTAAAATATTTTGCTATGTTTTATAGTATTTGTATTAATTATTTAGCTAATGTTGCATTCAAGTATTTTAATACAATCGTTATATATTGCTAGGTACAAACTTCATTTTTGCATTATGGACAACACCAACAAGATCAAGTGTCACTACAAGAAAACAGAAAATTAACGACTACGTTTTGCTACTGAAAACGTAGTCGCTAAATTTTGTGACTATCCAACGACTGATTAACGATGACCTTACGACTGAGGTCAACCAGTCGCCAAAACGTCGCGAACTAGTGACTAAAACTGTCGTCACGTATTAGTCGCTATTTACCGATGAATTAGTGACTAATATGTAGTCACGATATATCAGTCGCTAAAAAGTCGGTAAATTTGCGATTAATTGCGACATACGCGGCTTGTCGGTATAATTAAACATGCGTACTACGTTTTTAGGTTGGTGTACCGGTTTTTAGCGACGAACCATTAGTAGTCGCAAAATAGTGGCAAATCAGTCGTATTTTAGTCGCAATTTTCTATATATTGAGATCCCATTTTCGTTCCTCCTCATTAGTAAGTGTGCTACCATTTTGTTAGTTGCACTTTATAAAATTTCTTTAGTTGTAAGAAATATTTCTTACAAAAAAAGGTGAAAAAAAAGAGGTAAAAAATAACTCTTATAATAGAAAAAGAGTTATAATTTCAATTTCCAAAATGTATGGAAATTATAATTATAATAATTTTAGAGATTGGATGTATAAACGAATCGATGAAAAGACGGGTAATTTCTTGGATGCGTTTATAGAAGCAATTCATGAATTTTGAAAATAATCAGACTATAACACAAAGCAATGGTGGTAAATTTTTCTGCCCTTGTAGTGTATGCGAAAACAACAAGTTTTTCTTGGGGAGAAAAATTTGGAATCATCTATACAGTAAATGGTTCATGCCAGATTATTTTGTTTGGTATAAGCATGGGGAAGAAATCACTATGGATTATGGAACTAGTTATAGTAACACTCAGTTAAGTTGGAGTGAAGAAAAAATGGATAATATAGTTGAAGATAGATATGTGGATAAGGTGAATGATGCATTTTGTGATAATTTTCGTCAAGATAATAGCTATTGTCTAAATGAAAGTAATGAAAATGTAGAAGAACATGTACGTAACCATCCCAAAAAGTTTTACGACTTGTTAGAAGCTGGGAAAAAACCATTATACGATGGTTGTCATGAAGGGCATTCACAGTTATCTTTAGCTACTCGGTTCATGCAAAATAAGGCAGATTATAATATGAGTGAAAAGTGTTTGGATTCATGGGCCTCATTGTTTACTGAGTATTTACCAGACGGAAATCAAGCAAATATGAGTGAAAATAAGGCGTATAATATTTTGTATATATTTATAAACGGTATTTGTCCTTTTATGTAATATTTATCTTTAAACCTGTTAGGTGTCGCTGATAAACACGCTGAGTCAAGAGCCTTCTTATGAGGTTAATGGACATATCGATACTCCTTTTATCTAAGCTTGAGCGA